CAGTATATGAGGTTTTCCTCTGACAGTAATACTATTATAATGCAGTAGATATGAAGTTTTCTTCTGACAGTATATAATGTATATGGTATTATTATTGGATAAGGCGTTAAGCATTAGTGTTCATCACTTAATGTTGAAGTTTGGAAAGGTGGAGCTCATTTTAACGACTCGATGTACTGCTGGGTAACTTGTGCTGTTACATCATAATTTATATGTTATTTGTATTTGTTAACTTCAATCTGAATGTGCAAAGTAACTAAGGGTATCAAGTAGATGTAAGGGAGTAAAAATGTAACATCCTTCTTTAGTGTAAGGAGAAGTAGCAAAAAAAAGTACAATTACCTCAAAATTGTACTGAAATACAGTACTTGATATACTTAATTTCCACCACTGAGGATAGCTGATAACATAATGATACACATAATGATTACAAGTTAACAAAGTTTGATTCTTGAGATATTTTAACCGCTTCCTTGTTATGCGAATGAGGGATACTATCACTATAACACGTTCATTTAACCTGAGTCACAGCTTCTAGATTGTTATTGCAGCTCAGTTACAGAAAGTATTTGGAGAGCTAACATTTAGTGTGACACCTCTTTTTAGTTTACTACCAAAACAACATTTTCTGTGAGTGTTTACCAACAACAATTATTCCATTAGCAAGTTGTGTTAAGAAGTTATATTAGCAACCATGTGAAGAAGGGAGGAGGATATATGTTTAAAATATCATAGAGACAGTGATGATGCCAGCAGCTGCAACAGTCAGAGATTTACTTTAAAACAGCTGATAGTTTTATATATATGAAAGGTTATTACATCATATATTATTACATTATACACTGACGCACTGGTGTAAAGATTAAAAATTTGGTTTGCACTTTGAAATGTTTTATGTTTGAGAGGTGACATACAAATAAAGTTACCTTGACATTCCCATTTATTACCCAGAATCCTTTATTAAACTATCAAAATATTAGTAGCACCACAGAAGAAAAGAGATGAAAACAGTAGTAAATGAAATAATAGATATGAAGTTTTCTTCTGACAGTAATAGTATTCTAATACAGTAATAGTATTGTATGCATTAGATATGAGGTTTTCTTCTGACATTAATAGTATTATAATACAGTAATAGTATTGTATGCATTAGATATGAG